TAAAAGTATAAAAGTATAAATATAAAAATATAAATAGTATAAATATAAAAGTATAAATATAAAAGTATAAAAAGTATAAATATGAAATGTTCTAAGTTCTTTACATAATTCTCATAATTTTATAAAATATTACAAATTATAAAATTAATAATTTTTATAATATAATTATAACAATATCTACTGATCTTTATTTATTTTTTTGTTTATTATTAATTAATAATTTTTCTAATATATTTTTGTTAACTATTAATAATGTTAATTGTTACTATAATATTAATATTATATTTTATATAAAAGATTTTTCAGTTTTTAATACACTTTTATCTTTAAAATATATTTAAGAGTTAAATACTTATTAATATTTAAATAGATATTTTATTTTTTATTTTGTTAATTATTTTGATTATTATAATTATTTATTTTTATTAGAATTATTAATTCTTTTGAATTGATAATCTTTCTTAAAGTGATCAAGTTTTTCATAATTATAGCATTTTATTAGATATTTACTATTATTAATATTATTACTATTGTTATTTTTTCTATTATTATTCTGATTATTATTGAAATTGCTAAAATTAGAGATTTTTTCTTTTAATTAGATTTTTAATTTCTCCAATTATCTAATTAATTTATTGATTTTATTTTTAATTTGTATTTATAGTAAAAAATAAAATAGTTATAAGACTTGGTACAGTTAATATACTATATTAAAATATAGTATTTATTTGAATATGCTATTAAAAATTTGTATTATAAAATTGAGTTATATTAATAACATTTTCTAAAATTACAGATCTTATTGAATTGATGAAAAAAAGCAAATTTTTGATTTAAGTTCATTTATAAATTGAGATATTTATAAATAAACTAAATAATTATTGTCTAAATTTACTTAGCATAAAAGTTTTCTTATAATAACAATGTATTATTTTATATTTTTATCAGATAATTGTTTTCAATTATTTTTGTTATTCATAAACTTTATCTTGAATTTTAAATTATAATTTAAATTGATATATAAATAAATTAAGTAAACTATTAGTAATTTGATTAGCTGAATTTTATTATATAAATCAGTTATAACTATTCTTTTATTGATAAGTCAAGTAGTGACAGCTTTTTTCAAGTAAGTTTTAACTATTTATATTTTTTTATTGTATTAGCTTGACATATATTTTTAAAGTCTTGTAGCTAATAAATTAAATCTTGAATATCTTTATAAAAATTAATTATTTTTGTATATCTAACTTCTTTATTATTTTGTTTCATAATATTTACTAAGATATTTAATTTAATAATTAAGTTTCAAATTGTTGTTTTATTTTTTAGTCTTTTTCTGATTAATCTTCTTTTTGTTCTTTTTAAAATTCTTTTTATTAAAATTTATCTTGAAATTTTTTTGTTATATTTTTTGAGTTTAAATAATTACTAATACTTTTAACTCTCTATATTCTTTTTCAAAGATTATTTTTCTTAGGCTGGAAGTTTCTATTAATATTTTTTTATTGTTTTTTCTCAAATAATTTTCTTTTTATTAATAAAATTAATAGATTTCTTGCTAAAAATAATATAAATAAGCTTAAACTTATTAATTTAATATTTTTATAAAAGTTTCTTTTGCTTTGATTATTGTTATTTCATAAGTTATTTCTCTATAAAATGCTTTGAAATGATCAAAAATTTTCTAATTTCTTGTTAAAAATATTTTTTTCTTTTAAATATCTAGTAATTATTTCTTAAAATAATTTTTTAACTTAAATATTTGTTAATCTTGTTGGATCAGATTTAAAAAGATAAATTTATTATTGAGTTATTTATTCTTTCATAAAGAATTCTTAATTCAATTTTGATTTTGTTTGATATAATATTTTGTTTAATTTATAGAAAATTTTTTGTTCAAGTAAAATTTTAATAATATGAAGTTATCTTTTTTACAAAGAGAATACCAAAATATTTTTTTGTTGAATTTAAGTTATTTATATATTATTTATATATTTTTATTAATTTAAAGATAAGAGAAATTAAGTTCTTATATTGGAAAAGACTAAAAATTATAACTAAAAATAAATAATATGTATTAATATTCAATAACTTCACTAAGTTTTATATTTTTATTTTAGAAATTTAATAATTATGATATAAACAAAAAGCTTATTAATTCTAAGTTAAAATATATAATATATTATAGATTATATAATATTACTAGTTCTATTATTATTATTAATAATTTAATTAAATATGAACATTATTAATAATATTGGTATTAATACAAATATTAATTATTATTATTATTAATACAAATATTATTAATATTATTAGTATTAATACAATATTAATATTATTAATATAAGTATAAAACTAATAATATCTAAGATATAAATATCTAATAAAATAATAATTTACTAAAAATAATTATTCAATAAAATATTATTAATTATAATTTAATAATAAATAAGAATTCTATTAGTTAATAAAATTATTTGTTAAATATTATATTAGAATAATATAATAGTTTATTTTGAATCTGCTTCAAATTTTGAATCTTTTTTTGAATATAAATCAAAGTTCATTTAAGTTTGATTCAAATTTCAAATCAAATTTGAACTTATATAACAATTTAATTTGAGTTTAATTCAAATTTTAAATCTTATTTGAACTTAAATCATATTTTAGTTTAAGTTAATTTAAGTTTTAAATCAAACTTGAATTTAAACAAAAGTTCAATTTAGTTTAATTTATAAAATAAATAAATAAATTTAAATATAAAATAATTATTCTTTTTTAAAAATAATTACTTGTTTTTTATTAATATTTATTTAAAAAAATTATTTTTATATAATTAATAACTAATAAAATAAATAATATAATTTATAAATATTAAATTAAATTAAATTAATTAATTATAAGTTATATTTTATTATTTTATTAATTATTATAATAAATTATTTAATAAATAACATATTTTTATAATAATTATATAATTTTTTGCAAGTAATTAAAAATTAATTTTTTAATTTATTTAAATTTTGTTTAAGTTTTAAAGTTAAAAATGTAACAAATTATATAATTAATATTTTTAAGTATATTATATTATAATTAATAAAAACTATATAATATTTATTTAAAAAATTAAAAAATTATATATAATATAAAAATTCAAAACAAATAATAAAAAATTGCTTAGCATGAAATTTTAAATACAAAAGTAAATTAATAAAATCAAGCAAATTATAAAATTTTAACTTGGATTATCTGAAAACAAAAAAAAGTTGATACATAAGCCACACTAAGTCACATGTTTTATTTTTTATTGGGAAATTTATTATTCCGTGTCAGATCATATGAGTAGGCATCCCCAAATTTAGGGTTTGTCGATAAATCACGCGATGCCAGAATATCAGATAAAAATCACAGTTTTACGTTACGCCGTGACTTTTTACGGCATCGCGTGATTTATCTAGTATTTTCCGTAAATTAATATTACCTTGTAACGGTAACGGTAATAATAGTAAAAAGAGATGGCAACAACAAATAATCTAATAGTAGGTGCACGCTGCGAAATTCATGGCGACCGCGGCATTATCCGGTACGTCGGCCACACCGATTTCCAGCCAGGCAAATGGGTAGGCGTGGAGTTGGAGAAAATGAACGGAAAAAATAATGGGTCGGTGAACGGGAAACAGTACTTTGAATGCAAACCAAATCACGGAGTGTTTGTGAGAGCGTCACAGATAAAGACGATATTGCCTTCGGCGGAAGGGGAATCTTCGATGGTGCAGGGTCAGGTATGTGTGTTTTGGGTGATGGTTGTATAATATTTTTAGTTTTTTAATTGGAAAAAATCATATGTTAATAAAATTTAGACACCACAACCTGACACATCATTTTCATCATCAAACCGCGAAACTCCAGAACCTCGATTTGCCCCTGCAAACGATCCAACACTCCTAAAAGCACGCGAACGTTTAAAATCCCCGACACTATTAACAAGTAGTACCGCTGCACTGAGGTCTAGCTCATTAAAACAACCCAGTTCACCATCTAGCACACGAACAAGCTTTGCTTTGCGAACACCAACCACACCCACATTTTCACGACCGAGAAGTGATTTGGATACAGATATAAAACGACACGATTATCTCAATAATAGTAACAATAATATTAATGGTAATAGTTATCTTAGCAGTAGTAGTATCTTAGGCTCGGAACATATTGATGATGATGCCACAGCCGCCGATGACACTATTTTTGATGAGCCCATTGATGCTAGCGGGGATGTGGACTTGTCGATGGCTTCTGCTGGTGGTTCAACAGCTCCAAGTCTACTTAATACAGCTAATATTGGTGGTAGCGAGTATAATATGCGAGAGACACCCGTGAGGCAGTCGACTTCTCCAGATCCATTTTCTTTGTCGACGTCGCGTGAACAGGTATTGCATTGTTCATTATTATTTTTTCTGTTTTAGTTTTTTTTATCAAATTACATAATGGTATAGTGGTTTTATTGAATATAATACAATTCTTTAGACGGTTTCTCTAAAAGAGTACGAAGAGCTCCGTTTAAAGCTGAAAATTATGGAAAACAAACGACAAGAAGATCGCGAAAAAATGCGTGAAGCCGAGTTGTTGAGACAAGAGGCCGCGCAGTTCACTAGCATAAAACCGAAACTACAAGGTTGATTTCTATATTTGTCTTGATCTTTTTCATTTCTTTTACCTTATTAAAATTTTGACGTAATATAAAATTAACAATTTTTGTTGATATATTTAAACTTTAAATTGTAAAAATGAATATTTAATTTTTGAATTGATAAATCTCAAAAAAAAATTAAGCAAAAATGACCGAGATGCAACATGAACTCCGCGACCTCCGAAAACAACTTAAAGACGTTCGGGCCGAAAAAGAGCTATTCGAGAATAAGTACAATGAGGCGGGCGAGTCTATGGAGATGATGACGCTCGATAAAGAGATGGCGGAGGAGAAGGCTGAGAATTTGCAGCATGAGGTTAACATATTGATGGAGAAGATCGAAGAGATTAGTGTTGATTTGAGCGTGTTTAAACAGGAAGGGGGTTGGTTTTTTTTAGCCATTGTTATCTTTGTCATTGTTGATCCTCAACGATATCAATCCTATTCAATTATTGTCATTTTTATTCATTAATGTAAAAAAAATTAGACTTGATAAATAATGCAGAGACTAGTGTTGATGGAAGGACAGCGGTTGAGATCATCCAACTTGAACGACAGAATGAGCGGTTGAAGGAGGCACTTGTTAGGTGTTTATTTACCTAATTACTTATTGAAATTCGCACAGCCTTGCAATCGTCAATTATTTAAATCTCCTTTGTGATAATATCAGACTACGAGACGTCACAAGTGAAAACGAGTCTGAGCAAAACAGAAAACTGAAACAATATGAAAAAGAATTGGCGTCGTTGCAAGATATACAAGGTATATATTTTTTTAAAAAATTTCGTATTTCAGTAAATAATTTAAGTAATAATTTTAATTAAAAAAAAAATATAGTTCAACATGATCAATTAAGAAATCATCTGAAAACGGCCGAAAGCCAAATTGAAGATCTAAAAATCCGTTTAGATGATGCTTTGAATGCTGAAGATATGCTTGAGCAGCTGACAGAGAAGAATTTGGCTATGGGAGAGGTATTTACCATGCTATTCTTTCTCTCGGATTTTTTACTGAATTTTAAATTTGTAAAAAAATAAAATGCAGAAAATAGAAGAAATGCGAATAGCAATCGAAGATCTTGAAGCTCTTAAAGAACTAAACGATGAACTCGAAGAGAGTCATGTCGAAAATGAAAAACAATTGCAAGCTGAACTTGGTAGTATATCTCTTTCTTTTTCCACTATTAATAAAAGTACAAAAATTTATATTGATAATCACAATGACTAAATTGTATTCATAACAGATCACAAGGACATTCTCATCAGGGAATACATGAAACGTATAGAGTTAGCAGAAGAAACAAACGCCGACTACGAAAACACGATTAATCAATTCCGTGAGTTGGTTGCTAATTTGCAAAGGTGGGTTTTTCTTCCATTTTCTATCCATCTTCCATTACATTTTTCTCTTAAACTCTCATTAATATAATCTTATATCATGGATTAATTAAATTTCGACCAAAACAACAGTGATCTTGATCAAATACGACATAAAGAAGAAAGCCAGTACTCTGAATCAAAGAATCTCAGCAGCCAGTCACAAGCTATGCTTAATCTAAACTTCCAGCTCCAATCCACCGTTATGAAAGCACAAGCTAAACAGATCGATTTGGAACTTCGTAAATTAGATGCTGTACAGGCGTCTGATAAGTTATCTTACGTGCAGGTGTTTACAACTGTTGCTTTTTATAATGATAAAATAACTTGCTTTACTAATAATTATGTTGATATTAATATTATATTAATATTGATAACAAAAAAAGTCTTATCTACCGGACTCGTTCTTCAAAACCGAGAATGATTCGATTAATTGTCTGCTGCTGCTTAAGCGTCTCGTGTTCAAATCCGAATTGATTATCAAGCAACTCGACCAGATTCATAATATACCCGAGAAATTAAACACTGCTGTGCCCGAGGAATTGATTGTTGCCTGTGAAGTACTGTATTTTTCGTTTTCTTGGAGAAATGAATCTTTATATCGTTATAATTAAAATTGAATTTATTGAAACAAAAATTATAGTTACGACAAAAACTTGCATGGTTCTCAGACCTGGCTAAACGACTTGTCATGTTTATTAATGGGTGTCCTATTGAGACATTCACGAAAATGGGACAGGTGTATCATGATCTTGTTGGAACAGAGAGACGGTATTTTTTTTTTGGCTTTTTTATTATGATCATTTGTTTGGTTGAGCAATTGGTGATAAATATCGAAAATATAATTGGTCCAATCTATTTTTAGATTGAATTCGATTGTTGAAATGTTACGTAAAGAAGAATTGAAAGAAGCCAATTACATTGATGACATACAAAGGTTTGTTTTTTATACACTTTTTTCGCTTACCGAAAGAAAATTTGTTATATATGCAGCTGAAATCATCTACCTCACATACTAACCTCATACATAGATCTATTGCACAACTTGAACACCTGGCAGAAGTCTATCTCACCAATACACAGAGCGATAACGCCGAGAAGTTTTATGCGTTTGTACGTGCAGTCGATTTCAATGCTGATACGGTTGCTGTTTCTTTGGGTCATATTAAGCAGGCGGTTGCTCTTGCTTGTAAAGATGAAGGTATCTGCTGCGTTTTCGCCGTTAAGTTTTGCGAATCCTATTTTTTTTAACGAGTTATGTTCATGTTCGGTTTGACGTGAACTTAGAAATCAATGTTTCTGGCGGTGAAGAATTTAACTCCGAGTTCTTCCATCCCTTGCAAAATCTGGTCTCGAAATCAAAGAGTAGCAAGGTCATGGCAAGGTATTATTATTAAAATCATATATAATATTCATTTTATTTGTTTTTGAATTACAACTGATAAAGGGAATGTGATTATTATTAAAAATATATAGGAAGTTGCTTCGTCGTTTGGACGACCTGACAGAACAATCTTCCACCCTGAAAACAGATCTTCTCGCGAAATTCAAGATTTGTTATACCACTAGCGCTAAACTGGTGTCGTTCTGTCATGAGGTATTGTTATCATGACTATTCATCATAATGACATTACATTTCTGTTTAAAACTTGGCAACTATTAAATTTTGCATCATCTTATGTTTACATATATAAAACATAGGCATGGAAAGCAATCGCCTCCTATATAAACGAAAAGAAAGACTCTAAAGAAGAACTACTGCTCAGCGGTCTCCAACAATTAATCTACAAAGTTACGGAACACATTCTCGGTATCAACGAGATGAACATGTGGGAAGGGTGTACGAGTTCGCTGCAGGAATTGTGTGTGGAAGTTGGAAATTTGAATAATTTCTCGAATGATAGTGAGCGGTCTGAGCCAGGTTTGTGTTTTGGGCTTCTTTTGTTTACTATTTGTTATTTTGGTTGATTAATTAATTAATTATTAAAATATATAATAGTGGTTAATGGTGAACAACCATGGGTAATAAGGTCTAAAAATATCAAGGCTGAAGTTCTTGTTAATTTGGATACGGAACGTAAATTGCAGCAGACGGCCGAAGAGATGCGTGAGTTGATTAAGGAAGTTAAATTAAAGGTATTTTTATCATCGTTCTCTCCCTTCCTTGATTATCTGCACATTTTAATAGCAAAGCAAATGTGAAATTGGAATTGTCATCAAATAGGATCAATCTCTACAAGAAGCACAAGTGAAAATCGATTTACAAGAGAAACGTATGGAACTTATTAAAAATCAGGTGAATTTTTATATCTCTGTATTTAAGATTTACATTCTCGAGTAATAGTGTGTTTTTTCGATACTTATAATTTTTATAAATAAATCATAATTAAAGGCTGACACAATCGCCACACTTGAAGAACAACTAGCCAGCTCGCGAAGACAACAAAGTGATTTCGAAGAAGCGATGAATAATCTCCATACAGATCTTGATAAATTAGAACAAGAAAATAGTCAGTTCAAGTTATTGGCAGAGAAGTTGGAAGATCATAGTAAACTTTTTTTCCTCTCTTATCCATCACTTGCATTTATGAATAAGCTTATATAGTAATTACTAAGTTTGATTTATAATTATAAACTGAATTTTGAATTAAAGCTATACGATCACCAAGCGCATCAAAACGCAACACAATGACGAGTCAATTTGTCGACGAGGATGATTTCAGTAGTCAGATTCCTGAAACTAATTCTGTTGAGAGTCAAAGATTGAATAGTCAGGTAATTTTGTCATTTTCATTTCACCAAAAATATTTTTTATTAGATTCATTTTGATTTGCTAATATAATACAATTAAAATTTGTCGTTGGTATGATCCAATCGTCATCAGATTGAATCGCTTAAATTTGCCGTACGGTTCTTACGAGCCGAAAACTCTCATCTCAAAGGCCGTGACGCACTCGATGTACTAAACTTGCACTTACCAAGGAAAACAAGATCGATTAACGACGAGGTTGTAAAGTCTATTGCACAGGAAGCCAAATCATTGATCAAGGTATTTTTCCTGTTTTATGAAAATCAATTAATTTATAAATAGGTTTTCTTATAAACTAACTTTTGATAAATACTCAATATAGGAATTCCGCTCAGCAAGAGCCACCCTAAAAATCGTTGACCTAAACAAAGCAACAACAAACTATCGAGGCTGGCAACCAAAAGGAAAATTACCCAACTCGCAGTACTTGAAACAACAATCGGCGACCGAGATGAACAAGTTGCAGAAGCGAAGTAACGAGCTGAAAGCCAAACTTACACAAATTGGAAAGACTAATCAACTAAGACCTGTCAAGGTTTGTTTTGTTTGTCAACTTGCTATATCGGAGTCATGATTTCTTTTTTTCGACTCTTAATTAATTTTCGGATTGGAATGAATCAATTAAAAATTCAATTAGCTCGGTGGATCAGGAACACGACCTCCATTCATCGGCCGCATACAAGTCCCGCTACCTGAAAGCGCTGCCACACACCATCATTCTGAGAACAAGTCTTCGCTAACGAAAACGCCGTTACGACATAGTATTAAACTGAAAAATGCGGCGGACTTTGAAAGGATCCATACGATTTTTGTGAACTGAATTGGATTGATTTGAATGAAGGGGTCACTATCATCATTACTGGTTGCGTCTTTAAAAAAATATCTATTATTATCGAAAATCAATTCTAATTACTCAACTTAAATCATGTGAACAAGTTTTTTAAACTCATCTTGTATTACTTAAATTAAGAGATTAATTTATTTCATTTATAGACATTAATACTTTGAATATTATTATCAAATAAAAGTAGCCAATCGAAAAATATTAGATGCGCGATTTTCGCGTCATTTTGGTAGTATTGTGATGGCCGACACCTCAAATATAAATGGGAACATGTTTGGTTGTGGAATCAACTTGCACCACATAGAGATAACCGAACTACTTATAATCATACCCTCAGTACCAGAAAAAAGTGGATCAGGAAAAGGTGTGATTGTAGAGAGGGTGTGACTATTCTATTTGCAAAAGTGATTACAATTCTTGTTTTTACTCATTCTTGACGATCAATACATATTGTAATTCTATATATCGATATGCATGCTTTAATATTTCACTGTTTGAATTAAATTCCGACTTTGTCACACCATTCAATCAAATTTTCATGTGACAAAAGCAGATAATTTGATTGTAGCTTGTACTACAGTCAACTCTTCATGTGTGCCAGATGAAAAATTTGAATTTGTACCCGGAATAATGTGACGTGTAAATTTTTCAGCGAACAGTGCTTCGAAAAGTGTTGTATCACGTGGTCTTTGATACAAAAAATATTGGAAAAGCAATTTTACATATAATTTTATTTTCAAATAATAAAATAATTTTATAATTATATGAATTTTGAAAATTATATAATTTAACATTATTCAAAAACATTATTTAGACTTTATTTTTTTAATATAATCAACAAAAAAATTAAAATGTAACTTAGTGTGACTTATATATATATTAACTTGTTTTTGTAAAATAAAGTGTTAATCTTTGTTTTTTGATAATTAAATTTATTATTATATCTATACTTAAAAGTTAAAAGATAATTATTACAAATAATAATATTTTAGATTAAAATTCTGAAAAAAAATCTGATTTAGTTTGTTTAATTTAGTTTGAACTAAACTTGAATTTGATTAAAGTTTAGTTCAAAAGTTTGAATTTAATTAAAAGTTAATTTCAAACTTTAAATTAAATTTGAATTTTATTAAAAGTTTAATAATTAAAAGAATTTATCTTATATTTATGAGATTTGATTTATTGTTAAATTTGATTAGATTATTTAAGAAAATTTGATTACAATCAAATTCCTCTATAGTTATCACTTTTAGAAAAGCAAATTTTGGTAACTATAGAGAGAATGTGATTATAGAAGAGTTTTTTATTATATTTATATATAATAAGAAAGCAAAACAAAATGACTATAGAAAAATGTGACTATAAATGGATGTAACTATAAAGAAATTTGACTATAATTGATCATTAAGCAACATGTATAATAATTAATAATATTGTAATCCATCTTCTTTATATAAATTGCATTCTAATACCATTTTGTTTCATCATAATTCTTTTTTACTAAAAATTTACTGAATTTCTTTAAGCTAATCATGCAAATTAATATTTGATTTTGTTTTTTTATTATAAATAAAGTAATCCTTTCAATAGTGTTACCGTTTTGATGGGGCTTTTGAAATACTCAAAGGTATTTATAAAATTTAAGGAATATTCAAAGGGAAAACTTTCAATATCTTAATGACAATTCAAAGTCTAATAATACTTTATGGCTTTAGACTGAATATGAATTAAAGTACAACAAGTACTTATAGAATCACTTAAAGGTTGGTAACAATTGTGTTCTTTAACGCAATAACTGGACTGCTAAAAAGAGT